GAAAATAGCACAAACTATAGGCAGTAAACTCCTTCATGACTGTTACACCATGACCACTGTGAATTGTAGAGACTGTGGTATAGACGTGTATCGTTCGTTTTTTTACCTTTTTATCTAAAACTTTCGAAACCTTTTGTTTAATCTGAATCTATACAGTGTTTGTATAACAATGTGGTTCAGAAAAGTTGATTTCGTTCTAGCTCTCTTTGCTCTTTTGTTGTTTTCTAGAGATAATACCTGACCTGCCCACGAGTTGTATTGCTGTAATACTGCACTTTATCCGTGAATATATACGACAGCAGTATTCTTCACTGGTATGACAGAGGATATCAAGAAGTTACGAACAACATATGAATATATTTTGGCCTCATGCTGGTGTGACACCGTTTGATTCACAGTGTACACTATAAACATATGACAATACTATTGCGCAATTTATTTTCCTACAGTAGAAGAAAGTGAACCCATAATACTTGCATTTTACACCCATTTTTTAAAATTATTTCCAAATTTACTTATAATACTTTGTGTTCTTCCCTGTAAGTTTAGTTACTTTTCAATTTACGTAAATTAAATCTATCTCTAAGCATTTTCTTATAATTATGTAATTCTAGTACCACATAATTCCTTATAGATTATTTATTTTTATTGTCGCTATTTTGCTGGGCACTGTGTTTATCCTGTAATATGTCAAAATTAAAAATTAATGTTTTTCATTAAGATAACTTATTAATATCATTCGAGTTCTATGTCGGCAAGAGTGAATTGATGGTCAACAAAATTCGAATAAAAAGCAATAAAACTTAAACTTCAAAAGACAGTGAAACAAGTGATTATATTTTCATACTATGTACACATGAAACTATCTAAGCCCGAGAAATGAATAGAAAAGAAAAATGTTGGAAAAATGCAAGACACAATCTTTATTATATAACACGAACGAAGTTTGTGTACTTGCTTTTGATACTGGATTGTCGCTTTTACCTAATCTAAGTTGTTTTCTTTCCAAATTGTACTAGTTGTAATCTTAACCCAGACTCATCCAGTTGATATTATACTACACTGACTAACTCTAACGTTACTTAGACAATCCAGAAGCGTCAGACATCCCCTAATAGATTAGCGCTTCACACGTAACGGTCATTATCATTCAAACATAAAAAAGGCTGTAACCTCGAGGCATCACTTGCCCTACTACTGAAATAAACTGCTGTCTACACTCATGCACAAGGTGCAGCTTTACATATATTATTCCACGGCCAAACCAGGTGTTGTCTAGAGTAAATAACAAAGAACAAAGTAGAGGAAACAACTTAGTGACTTTCTTGACCACTTGTTATAGAAAACTGTACATACCAAAACAAGTGACAAATTTCGAAAAACATTATGTTAAGATAAGAAGATAATAAATACAGTGTGCTTATACACCTGACTATCACATTTTAATACAGTGAAAAGTTTCAACCTTTTGTCAAGTTATTATTATTTTTTTTTATAATTCTTTTGACTATTCTCCAGAAGTGTTTTATTTTTTAACTAAAAAAAAGACATATGTAAACTTGTGTGGAGTTATTGACCTTAAATAATTTATATTAAATTGTTACACTCAAGTCTGACAAAAACATACTTAATGCACTATGAACATTCAGTTTCGTTTATGTGTTGTTGGTAAATTTTCACAGATCACAAAACTCAAGCAAATGTTATTCGTTTGTTTGTTGTTAAGGCCAAAGCTACATAATGGGCAATCTGTTATGTGTCAATCACGGGTATTGAAACGTGGTTTTTAGTGATATAAGTCTTCATATTTACCGTTGAGCCACTGGAAGGGGGGGGGACTATTCATTTGTATATTTTAGAAGACATTTTAAATGACATTCTACTACTATTACTAAATCTCTGTAGACCTCAAACATTCATCAGTTAAAAAGTACTGACACCAATAGCAAGATTATATCATATCTTTTTAAGAGTTAAATTTTTAAAAGTAATACCCAGTCCCTTTCAGAAGCCCCCAGTGGCACAGCGGTATGCCTGCATACTTAAAACGCTAGAAACCGGGTTTCGATATCCGTGGTAGGCAGAGCACATATAGCCCATTGTGTAGCTTTGTGCTTAACTTCAAACAAACCCTTTCAGAAATGTTATGCTATATAAATACCATTTAAATGGTTTGGCTTTCTAGTTGGCACAAGATGGCGCAAGCGACGTACTTATTCATAACATAAAGGATTTTGGTCACTCTAAATTAATTCGTAAAATCCTCTGAAATTTTACACGCAAATTAAAGATCCAAAATGTATCATAAATGCTGGATTTCTTTCTTCTGGCATTATAGTTAAATAGAAAAGGTGGCTGAATAACGCAGTGAAGAACTAAGTCTGTTAATTTGGTCAGCAAATTATATGAAATACTTCTAGTTAAAAATATATATTAAAATTAAACCTCACTAGTTCATTTCTTTATCATGGGAGCTAGAATTAGAAAAAATGTTTCTCTCTGTATTCTATACTGTAGTAACAGATGAACGTTTGTGTCATCAGACATGAAATCATTCAACATCAGGACTTAAACTTGGATCACAAGAAGACCTCAAAGTAAAAATCGAAAGGCTGTCCCACTCTATAAACAGGAAGGAGCAGTCCGTTTAAGCTTAATCTCTAGTAGGACCTAAAGCGTTTTAATTTGTTTTATCATGTGAATATGAGAACATGTTTGTAAAATATTTAAGTAGTTAGCCGTCTGGAGGACATATTAACCATATAATAATAAAAAAAATACTTTTACTAGAAACTGCACTATGTGAAACACACGTATGTAATAAATGAAGTCAAAATTCCGGATAAATTAGTTTCTACGCCTAACAAGTTTAGTGCAATGTCTTTAAAGCTTTCAGATATTTGAAACAGTGTTTTAAACCTCTTTCATTATGGGTTACTGGCAACATGACATGAAAAAATTAGGAGATTTCTATACTTTGTTTCTTTAAGACTTATGCAGTATATGTGGTTTAATAAAAAACAACTTTTTTAGCAAGAGAATCCTATGGGTCTGCATTTATATAGACGCTATTGTCTAAAAATTACTTTAGGTAAAAAATAAAATTTTATAGTATGTTTGTTTCGCATATTCGTAAAAGTATAAACAAGTAGTATGTAGAGATAGTGTGTCTTTTCTGTCTCTTTTTATTCAATAACGTGAACTTTTAAATTCTAAAAATTTAAGAAGAATGTAAAACAATGTGTCAGTGTCAAGTTTTGTAAGGCCGGATTCTTTACAGTAGGTGTCTGTGACTTTTTGGTGATAAATTTCAACTATAAACAAACAGCAACACAGTCCGTTTGTTTTTAAAGTAATATATTAAAACAAATCAAATCTATAAACAAATGCTCGTTACACTGTTGGTTATCACAGTTGTATCCAGAACTTTTTAAATAATTGTTTCTTTTTCGTCAAAGTCCACATGGGTTGGTTCATGTACTTTAGAATACAATTGACAATACGAATTATTCTTCTCTGCTCTGTTATTATAATACAGTCTGTGATAATTTTACTTCAAAAATTGCCACTATACTCTCTTTATCGTGACCTGGTATGGCAATCTGAAGGTTCGTATCCACGTCCAATCAAACATGCTCACCCTTTCAGCCGTGGGGGCATTATAATGTGACGGTCAGTTCCACTATTCGTTGGTAAAAAAGTAGCCCAAGAGTTGGTGGTGGGTGGTGACGACTAGCTGCCTTCCCTTTAGTCTTTTACACATGGGCAATTTGCACTAGTTGTCCAAATTTAGCAGTGCAAGATTAAAGGGAGGGCAGCTAGTCATTACCATAATGCTCCCAGGGCTGAAAGATCGAGCATGTCTGGTGGGATGAGAATTCAAACCCGTGACCTCAGATTGCGAGTCGAGTGCCCTAACCACATGGCCATGCTGAGCCGAAAACATTTTAAAGTGTACATGTAACTTTATCTTGGAAATTTCGTGAAGGAAATGGCTCAGTTCCTTTCGCTCTAATTACCTAATTTCTTCGGTTATTTAACTTTGATATCTTGTGCACTTTCTAATGGGAAAGGTTGTTGTAAAGTAGAATATACTAATTAAGGTGGGGCAAGGATATTTTTCACTGGTGGATTAGTGATGCCTTGAGGTTACACCCTCGATTATTGGGAATTACCAATATTAACATTTATAGCACACCTGCCTTGACAAAAATAACATTATAGAACTGTATATATAATGCTTTGTTTTCTCAATATGGAACAGTTATTGTAGTTATTCTTCTATTCTGATACCTGTGAAAGTTCCAGTAGAAACTTTGTACTTCATCCATAAACTTGCTGTTTTCAGTTGTTTAGTGAATTGAATAAAGATAGTTTTCACATTTTGTCCAATCTCTCCATTTTTAACAACTTAGTCGAAACCATGAGAACATTTCTGCCAAGTCTCATGTTATTTGTGTCACCCACCGATTCTGACTAGGCAAACAGTTTACCTGGAAGTACCCACACAAGGGCTATCTGACACTAATTTTGAACTGATAGGCAAGAGAGAAGGTATCTAGTCAACAGTATCTATTGCTAGCTCTAATTCAATAGTGGGATTTGATCATTTCTCTTATAACACGTCCACAACCCTAACTTTCAGAGCAGAGTGTTGCAGTAACTAGATGTGAACCACGAATGCCCGAATTCAAAGTCTAGCATGCTAACCATTTGTCCATGCCTGGCCTTTTAATACTATGATATAACTACTCAACAGATTGAGAATAGACAGTTCTATGTGACTACTTGTAGTTTCAAGTGTCATCTGCCCACTGAAACTAAACCACAATTATTGACATGAATTGCAAACATCATTTATATATTTAATTTGCTCAAAAACACAATTTAAGTCTCAATTAATTTGCAGTACCAGTCACACTAAGTATGCATATTATATTGGTGCTAGATGCAGTGTCTTGTAGAACTTCATGTTAAATAATTAGGGAAATCAAACAGACTTAAATAGGAAATCAAGTTTTTATTAGGCTGATATATTTATAATAAAACAAAAGATACATACAGAGAATAAATAACATAAATATCAAATATTTTCCGCATATTTTCAGGACTTAAATGAATGTTAAACACTATATATATACATACATAGTGGGTATTTCTTACATTAAATCAATGCACAGCACACAGTCAAAAACAAAAGAAGCACATTAAAGGCAAGTGTATTAGAACTATTATGGTCCATTTAATATTATTTAACTGGGTATATTTAACTTCAATGATTCGTATACAAATTACAAATTCCAGTGGCTCTGAAAAAAATCATTAGATGATATGCATTACGTCAAATAGAACACCAATCAACATGGCAATTCCAGACAACCATTGTAGATCCCTTTTTGTTTGTGTTTTTTTTAAAGAAATCTCTTAAAAACTGTGTTATGATAACTATTCTAACTTGCTTATGAAAAGCTTGATTTAAACTATGACTATGACTACATTACACAATCATTTATAGTAATCAAATTACATTTAGTTTACATAAAGTACTGAAGCCTTGTTAGATACCTTTCTAGCATCAAACTCATGGCAAATACCAAATTTTTAAAGAATAGTATCAGATTAAAACAGAAATTATTAATTCTTTTTAAAAATACATCATTTAAATATAGTTTCAATTCAACCTTAAAAACTTAGTTAAATATATAAATTGTATGTTTGTAAGTTAGCTGTCTTATGAAGTTTGAGTTTACTGACAAAGAGATAAAATTAAAAAATGCAGAAATTTCTATGAAAGCTACCACAGGATGTAATACAAGTCTTAAAGTACATTAATTCAAAGTGTGAATTAAATGCTATAATTCTTTGTGATGTAAAAGCCATTACAAATATTCAGGCTACACAAACTTTATCACTTGTATATAACATTAGAGTTTTCTCAGAAATCTCTTCTACATTCTGGCCCATAAACAGCTCAGACTTTATATGAGGAATATATTTTTTTTACCTTGAAACCAATACCAAACAGTTTTTCACATCAACTCACCATTTGTATTTTCATATCTGTATTAAAAGGATGCTAAACTACAAGAAACAGGTCATTTCAAAAATTTTGCTTCAGTCATTTTCTTAGTAGGTCTTAAAAACTACATATTCTAAATGGCTAAATATTTATTCTAAAAATTACAGCACGCATTGTGAACAGTTTGTAAATCTTACAAAATCTTGATTTAATCTTTTTTAAGTAAACAAGATTTGTTGTTATGACACTATTCTATATTCATGCACAGTGACATTTAAATTGAGAAAGTGTATTTACACATTTGTGTTGAAGTAACTGCCAGGAAGAAATTAGGAGAAAGTGTATTTACACATTTGTGTTGAAGTAACTTCCAGGAAGGAATTAGGCCTGTTGATTAAGTTACCCTGGTCCAAATAAGTATATAGGAAATATTATTACAGTTACTATTATATATATTATTCATGTTGTAATAATTAAAATGTTTGTGTGAAAATCAATGGTCTCAGAAAAGTTAAAATCATTTTTTATTCAATAAACTTCAAGTGGTAGTTTAGTGTTGCTAGTCTGTGCTAGAATTAGCACTGATTAACCCATGTTAGGTGAATCTAATGTTTTGGCTATTGGATGATTTAAATGGATCCTGGATTAAAGATGGCTTAATTTCCTGGACTATGAGTAGCATCAGTTGGTTGAAATACCACAATTGTCTGGGTGAATAAAGTTCTTCAAAACCTTGATACCAGGAGAATGTAGTATTTTCTTATTTTTGTAATTTGATTCAGGAATATCTAAAGTCACCAGGCATCTGTGTATCGAATGTCACACTCTTGTAAGGCTGGTAATTTTTTCTGCAAGATATATATAATAATAATTATTAAACACTGTTGATAAAGATACTGACCATTTTATGCATTGTTGATACATACTGATTATTACTAAATAGGCCTTCTGCTGATAAATACTCATCATTACAAACACTGTTAATAGATTGTTATCATTATTAGGCTTTGCTGAAAATATATTTGATCATTACCAAAAACTGTTGATGAATACTTATCATTAATAAGTACTTTTTAAAGTATTTAACATTATAACACAAGGTTGATATATACTGATATCAATAATTATGTAATTTTGGTTATGCTGATTATTATCATGGATTAGAATTATAGATAATTTTCAAAAAATAAAGTGTAAGACACTACAAAAAATTACAATTCTTAAATACTTTTTTTTATAAATTACTTTTTATAAAAAGAAATTATTATAGCAGATAATTTTTCTGCTATTAAAATTGAGAAATATATTTCTCATTCAGGGGTGTAACTACTGGAGTAGGTGGAATGGAGGGAATATACCACCCTCCCAATGTTAGGTAGCTAGAGATACTTTTGTTGGGCATAACAACAGTTTGTTGAGCAGCCCAATGTGAATACACAATACTTAGAAAAAAACCAAGAACTTCAATGCCAAACCATTATAACACTTGCTGCTACACATGTAGCATGGTCACATATCTTAAGTCAATGATATGAACAAGTGAATGATCAACTTGTTTCATCACAGGAGACATCAAATTTTTCTCGTCTGTCACTTGCCAAGCCATACCTGATTAATGTATTATATACTGTACCTATAAAAAGAATAAGTTTTTTTACCCAATGGGTACTCATTTGCCCAACTGAATAATGAGGAAATCTAAACTTAGTAATTGGAAATTCCATCATATTGGTACCCACTTATCTATTTCACATCCAGAAACAATAGTTCTAGTAATAATGGTACAGATAAAGGTTATACCAGAAACAATAGTTTCAGTAATAATGGCACAGCAATCGGTACACAGTACCTACACATGTGGTAGAAGCCATGTCTGTCAGGCAAAATGACTTGCCCCTCCCTTCCCAATACTCACATCTCAGTTACACCCCTGTTTTCATTGTAATACTTAAAAGTATATCTTTGCACTTACTTTGAGTTCCTCAAACATTTGAGCTGTTAAACTAGTACTGTTTAAGTTTAGTTTTCTTAAATTCTTCATTGCTGCAATTTAAAAAAAACAAAAAAACAAATGCAAAAATAAATCACTAACTCAGAAAACAGCAATTTCGAGATTACTACTAACAGTTTAGCTTAGAAGTCTACTAAATAGCTAATAACATGTTTCTGTGCCTTAATAAGATTTCTAGAAACAGTTTAGTTTATCAACTTACCAAGTAGCTACTAATGTATTTCTCTGCTATTGTAAGATTTCTAGAAACAGTTTAGTTTATCATCTTACCAAGTAAACGCTAACATGCATCTGTTCCACAATAAAATCTCTACAAATATAGTACAGTTTATCAGCTTATGACGTAGCTGCTAACATGTTTCTGTGCCATAGTAAGATTTCAGTAACTGATAATGCAAACTGAAACTAGTTAATTTAGAAACTGTTAAGTTCAAAATAGCATTAGATTAACTTGTAACCCTAAATGTACCTGCTTTCTGATGGAGGCATTAATGTACGTACATATGTTGATCAAATATTAAATCTTAAAATATTATATGTTTAAAACTATTAAAAAGTGGTAACAAAGTCATAAAACAACATAACAACTGAGAATTTTACATTTTGCAAATATGTAATAATCATTTAATCAATAAAATCAAAACACAAAAAAGGTCATAATAAAACAAAACAAAAAAATAACTGGACCTATAAACTTATACAAGAGGAATGTTGTCTAAACTTGAAAAACAAAATTTTTACCCAAATATAACTAAATATTCAAAAGTATTCCACATAATACAATTGAAAAGTTAAAATATTTTGATTTTCAGAAGTTGTTGTCAAAAGTATTTTGAATTCATTAGTTGCTCCACAGAAGCTGTAATTTGTTGTATTAAAAAGCTTGTCGTAATATTTTGTAATTATTTTGTTGCTCTTAAACAGTGAAATGTCACTTTTTTGTTTCAAAGAACAAACTATCACAACTTAATACCATTTATGAATTAATTTTTTTTTACATTTTCTAGTACAGTAGTTCATGCCAAAAGTAAGTATTTCTATGTTCTCCAAGTAAAATATATCATTCATTTATTTATTGTTACTTTCATTAATAGTATTGTTATATTATTTAATGTATTGATTGTCATTACTGGTTTTTTTTTAATTTATCATTATACTTTTATTATGCAGATCATTTTGCATTGTTTGCTTAATATATGTATCTTGGACTAACATAAATCTCCTAAGCTGGCATAAGATATTACTGGGATTATGGTTGAAAATATTGTTAATAGTGAGGGTGCCTAACTGATAGTACATTGAATTCTAATCTTTGTAAGTAGACACACATGAAATATATATTTAATCAGCTATACTGATAGATACGTTGATTTTTAGTTTTGCTCTAAGTACATAGCTTGCTGTGATCAGAAATAATATTAACTGATACATGTGTTCTGAAAAATAGTTTTCTATTTTAATTTCTTTACACTTTAACATTTCACTAAGGTAAATTTCTAAATGTTTCTCAAATACTTGTGTAAGTTAGAAAAACGATTTACTTAATTTCTGTTATAATTATGCTGTAAAAGCTAATGCATCTTTTATAGAAGTTAAAACATAAATTGTGCAAAAGATGTTTGCTTTGTTTTGTTTTTTGGAATTTGGCGCAAAGCTCCACGAGGGCTATCTGCGCTAGCCGTCCCTAATTTAGCAGTGTAAGACTAGAGGGAAGGCAGCTAGTCAT